ACCCCATATTGTCAGAGATGAGGTCCCTCTCATCTTGAGTCTGCAGGACACAGCGTCCGTGGTTTCCAAAAAGAATTTCACATTTTGATTAATCTGACCACAGAACAGTTTTCCATTTTGCCTCAGTCCATATTAAATGAGCCTTGGCCCAGAGAAGATGGCGGCATTTCTGGATCATGTTGACATACGGCTTCTTCTTTGCATGATACAGCTTTAACTTGCATTTGTGGATTGCACGGCGAACTGTGTTCACAGACAATGATTTCTGGAAGTGTTCCTGAGACCACGCAGTGATTTCCAGTACAGAATCTTGCCTGTTTTAATGCAGTGCCACCTGAGGGCCCAAAGATCACGAGCATCCAATATTGACCGTTGGCTTTGTCCCTTGCCTACAGGGATTTTTTCCAGATTCTCTGAATCTTTTGATGATATTATATTCTATAGACGGTGGAATATCCAGTCTTTGCAATTTTACGTTTAGGAACATTTTTCTGTTCCACAATTTTTAGATGCAGTTTTTTGCAGATTGGTCTTTGCTTCTGAGAGACTCTGCCTCTTTTTTTATACCCAGTCATGTGAGTCAAATCTATTTGTAGACTGTGGACCCAATGTGGTTTGAAGCAGGTATGAGATGTTGCGGCATTCAGTTTGCACAATGCCAACTTTCATTATTTGTTAGTTACATTTTCATCGTATTCCCAGTGTAAAACTAAGGAAGCAAACTCCAAACATGTCTGGACAGATTGACTACATTTAGGTAAGAGAGAAACTATGTGAAATTGATATATTGTACAATTATTTCTTTAAACCACAGTATTGTGTCCCTCATGAACACTAACAAATAATACATCTTCATTTTCATCACCAGTTTTCTCTCTTCCTCCATGAAGTGCTTGCAGCAATGAAGAACATGGCGGGTGACCAGCGCTTTCAGAAAACTGGCGAACTATGAAGTGTGGGTCACACCTCTTTAACATGAGGCTTTACAAGGTAGCTTCACACAGTAATTATATACATTATTTTATTTTACTCTTGTATTAGAAGCACGAAACAAAGGCTTGATAGTGACAGGACCCAGGTCAGCATGTCTACAATGCAAATTAGGGCTGCACGATATTGACAAAATGCGATGTTTGATAAAGTTGTGAGATATCACAATGACGACACCTCAACAGCTTTTTCTATAAAGGCTGCAAAACCATATGTATATATACACACATGCATTATATATATATATAATATATATATATATATAAATACACAGTGGTGTGAAAAAGTGTTTGCCCCTTCCTGATTTCTTTTGCATGTTTGTCACACTTAAATGTTTCAGATCACCAAACAAATATAATATTAGACAAAGATAACACAAGTAAACACAAAATGCAGTTTATAAATGAAGATCTTTATTATTAAGGGAAAAAGAAATCCAAACCTACAGGGCCCTGTGTGAAAAAGTGATTGCCCCCTTGTTAAAACATAAATTAACTGTGGTTTATCACATCTTTGGAAAGAGTTCAATTTCCCTAGCCGCACCCAGGCCTGATTATTGCCACACCTGTTCTAATTCAAGAAATCATTTAAATAGGACCTGCCTGACAAAGTGAAGTAGACCAAAAGATCCTCAAAAGCTAGACATCATGCTGCGATCCAAAGAAATTCAGGAACAAATGAGAAACAAAGTAATTGAGATCTATCAGTCTGGAAAAGGTTATAAAGCCATTTCTAAAGCTTTGGGACTCCAGCAAACCACAGTGAGAGCCATTATCCACAAATGGCGAAAACATGGAACAGTGGTGAACCTTCCCAGGAGTGGCCGGCCGACCAAAATTACCTCAAGAGCGCAACGACGACGCATCCAAGAGGTCACAAAAGACCCCACAACAACATCCAAAGAACCGCAGGCCTCACTTGCCTAAGTTAAGGTCAGTGTTCATGACTCCACCATAAGAAAGAGACTGGGCAAAAATGGCCTGCATGGCAGAGTTCCAAGACGAAAACCACTGCTGAGCAAAAAGTACACAAAGACTCATCTCAGTTTTACCGGAAAACATCTTGATGATCCCCAAGACTTTTGGGAGAATACTCTGTGGACTGACGAGACAAAAGTTGATCTTTTTGGAAGGTGTATGTCCCATTACAGCTGACGTAGAAGTAACACAGCATTTCAGAAAAGGAACATCATACCAACAGTAAAATGTGGTGGTGGTAGTGTGATGGTCTGGGGCTGTTTTGCTGCTTCAGGACCTGGAAGACTTGCTGTGGTAAATGGAACCATGAATTCTGCTGTCTACCAAAAAATCCTGAAGGAGAATGTCCGGCCATCTGTTCTTGACCTCAAGCTGAAGCGCACTTGGGTTCTGCAGCAGGACAATGATCCAAAACACACCAGCAAGTCCACCTCTGAATGGCTTAAGAAAAACAAAATTAACACTTTGGAGTGGCCTAGTCAAAGTCCTGACCTGAATCTGATTGAGATGCTGTGGCATGACCTTAAAAAGGCGGTTCATGCTCAGAAACCCTCCAATGTGGCTGAATTACAACAATTCTGCAAAGATGAGTGGGCCAAAATTACTCCACAGCCCACATTGCCAGTTATCGCAAACGCTTGATTGCAGTTGTTGCTGCTAAGGGTGGCCCAAACAGTTATTAGGTTTAGGGGGGCAATCACTTTTTCACACAGGGCCCTGTAGGTTTGGATTTCTTTTTCCCTTAATAATAAAGATCTTCATTTATAAACTGCATTTTGTGTTTACTTGTGTTATCTTTGTCTAATATTATATTTGTTCGGTGATCTGAAACATTTAAGTGTGACAAACATGCAAAAGAATAAGAAATCAGGAAGGGGGCAAACATTTTTTCACACCACTGTGTGTGTGTGTGTGTGTGTGTATATATATATATATAAACACACACAACCAAAAAAGTTGGACGCTGCAGAATGTAAATAAAAACAAAATGCAATGATATGCAAATCATTTAAACCGCATATTTTATTGAAAATAGTACAAAGACAACATATCAATGGTTGAAACCGAGAAATTGTATTGTTTTTTGAAAAATATATGCCCATTTAAATTTGATGCCAACAACATGTTCCAAAAAAGTTGGGACGGGAGCAACAAAAGGCTGGTAAATTTGTGTAATGCTAAAAAAAAAACACCTGGTGGATAATTGGCCACAGGTCAGTAACATGATTGGGTATAAAAGAGTATCCCAGAGAGGATCCAGAATGCTGCCACCCTCTCTGGGCTCGAGCTCAGTTAAAATGGACTGAGGGGAAGTGGAAAAGTGTTCTGAGGTCCGATGAATCAAAAGTTAAAATTCTTTTTGGAAATCATTACAGCAGCATGGCTCCATATTAAAAGCGTCCAGGTGCTAAACTGGCCTGCCTGCAGTCCAGACCTGTCACCACTGATAACATTTGGCGCATCATGAAATGAAAAATGCGACAAAGGAGACTCCGAACTGTTGAGCAGCTGAAATCCTATATCAAACAAGAATGAGAAAACATTTCACTTTCATTTCAAAACCACAGCAGTGTCTCCTCAGTTCCCAAATGCTTACAGAGTGTTGGTAAAAGAAGAGGTGACGAAACGCAGTGGTAAAGATGCCCCCATCCCAACTTTTTTGGAATGTGTTGTTGGCATCAAATTCAAAATGGGCATATATTTTTCAAAAAAACAATAAAATTTATCAGTTTCAACATTTGATATGTTGTCTTTGTAGTATTTCCCTTTGAATATGGTTTACATAATTTGCATATCATTGCATTCTATTTTTATCTACAGTCTGCACAGTGTCCCAATTTTTTAGAAATGGGTTGTATTTTTTATATATAGAGGCGCACAAGAACAAATACATATTCTTGTTTCATTTTATTTTTTTTTGTTTAGTTATTAAATATTGTGGGGTCAGACACACTGGGTTATATTTAGTTTAAAAATAACGTTCTTGTTTTTTGGTTGAGCGTAGTCGGGCACCATGTTCTTATTTGGTCCAGGATTCTTATTTTGAAGGACTCTGGGGGGCGTAAGGTAGCACGCTTCAGTAGCCTAGATGGCTAGCAGCAAAACAGGAGAACCTGAGCTAGCCTGTATGCTGCGTGTTTTCCCCTTTGACAGAGGCTGTTTTGAGTTAAATTTCCTTTAAAGCTGAGTTACTGGCTGAGATTCAAGTGTGTGTTTTGTAATTGGCTGTTTGGCCGAATGGTCAAGTTACTCGTCTCCCGCGTGGGAGAGCAGGTTCAGTTGCAGCGCAGAGAAGCAGGCTTGTAACGGTTTGTAATGCTAATGTAATGACGTCTCTCTGGCGCTGCAGGTATGAGGTAATTCGTCCTGTCTGTCCTGTCATTGCTGCTCTAACGATGTGTTTATCGTGGAAGCTCATATCACGATAACGATAAAAATATGATTTATTGTGCAGCCCTAATGCAAATACAGCCATTTTATTCACTAAACGGCCAGTGAACCTACAAGTGTCTTCTCAGTTTTATATGTCAAATTGAAAACAGTAGAAAATCCAAAATAAAAAGAACAAAACAAGTTTTCTAGGGAATTATTTTGCCTCACAAAACTCTGTATGTACCTCTCCACCTTAAAAGGATTTTAAAAAATATGTTTAGGTCAAAACCTTCTCAAACTGTTGAAAAACAATGTATCAATGTATCCGGTAGCATATTCACAACCATTTCATATAATGTCCTTCTTTGAATGAGCTTTTAGAGTGATTAAACTCTTCAGACGTCTGGTTCCTATCACCACCACTGTTGTATAATTCTGACTTGGTAGTTTTCTCTAGAATGGAGCATTTCACATCAAACCACACGGATGTTGTTTACATCTTAACCATTTAATTATTCAGAAATGTTGAAAATATGTGGAATTCCTCTTTTAAACTCTCAAATTTGCCCTTTCGCTGTTCAATATGCAATTTCTGCACATATTCTTTTCTTATTCATCTGTACAGAATGTTTCACGTGAGGCGCTTCTGCACACACCCACCTGGGTAGGGCACAAAGAACCATGCAGCGCTGCTTACTGCATCCAGGTTGATGTCTGTCCTGGCCTTGTAGCCGTACTCATCCGGCGATGTGGGCAAAGCATTGAAGTATGTCAGGAAGAAGCAGACCAGCCAGGCTCCACACATCCCAAACAGGGCCTGCAGAAAGAGCCAAAACAAGGACAGCTGTCTGCATTCTTTCATATCTCCTCTGAACTCGAACGAGTTAACAGGAACTTTTCTGAGTCTACTATTTCCCCAGGTAGTGATTACACCACTGTTGTGAAATCTGCCCCCATTTACATGCAAATCACCTCTCTGTTCAGTAGATGGGACTGAAAGGAATGGAGTCCTTCGTAGCTTGCCCTGCAGCCCAAACCAAAAACATCAGTCTTCCTAATGTAAACTGTACCATGTAAAATGCGGCATGCATAGCACAAGTCAATGGCCTCGGGTGTTTAGGGCTTTTAGTCAACACTCGTACCAACAAAAAGTCCTGAAGAGAGTTGACAGAGATCAGCAAAGGTTCCTCCGAAGCCTGACAGACGGGTTCAGTTATAAAAGGCATTGTGGGAGAATTCCAGAAGGGCTATTTTTTTTAAAAACCAAACTCTTTATACTTTACTCCTGACAGGGTGCAGTTACAAAACACAACCCCTTATTACATGCAATACTTTCTGAATGCCTTTTATCCACTGATTATATTAGCTGCTTCATTCGCTGACACTGAAACCCAAACTGTCCCATTACTGTCAACATTTGTAACAATTAGATGATGAGAAGTGAACATAATGGCCTTTGACTATACATTATTCAGTCTGACAGTGCTGAGGCTAGTGTTATTATACTTCACAACAACTAGATGTTATTGAATTTCAGTTTCACTTAAAACAATGCAGTTAGAGACCAGATTCCACAGCATATTAGAAGAAACATTGAAGTGACACCCCGGCCAAAATGAAAAGTGTAACCATTGCTACATCAATGATTGCAATGCCTACTTGCCTCCCATGGCAGGGTCACAACAGTCTGAAGAGAGAGATTTTTGGTTAAGAGATGAGGTAAGTCTCTTTCTTATGATGTATCTTGTGACAGGAATGTTTGAAACTAGTTTTTTAGGCTTGGCTGTTTTTTTGGTTTGGGCTTGGCTGATTTTTTTTTCTCTTGATAACTAATACAGAAGAAAGCCTGATAGCTACTATTATTGCTATGAAGCCAAATAACACATTCGAATAAAAAGCTTCTTGGCAGCTATGCCAGCAGTCAGGTTTTCTTTATCACTACGGGGGATTTCCAGTGGTTGTATAATGCATTTTCATAAAATGCCAGAAGTGTACAAAAATTGTGACTTCCATCAAACCAATAAGGAAGAGCGATGCAAATACTACAGAATACTAAATAACACCACAAATAACATTATCACATTGATATTAACATATTATTCAAGTTTCTAGCATGCACTGCCCCTATAAAGAACAATTAAACAGAAAAGGTCTCACCGAAAAGAGCTTAAAAAGCGGGTACTGAAAGACCTTCCACTTTTTGTCCTTGTAAGCAATGAGCGGAACATCGACCTTGCTGAGATACTGGGAGAAGAGCAGAATAAGACACACTGTCCTGTAAAAAAAACAGATCAAATACATTGTCACTAAAAGGTTGTTCCTCTCTTAATACGCCACTTTAAATGTGAACGACCTGACCTTAGACCAAAGAAACAAAGAGAATTTCTATGTGGACTACTTTCTGAAATGTATTATGGGAAAAGTCTTAAAAACAGGCTGCTCATTAATGCTTAAACATGCTCAGAGGCATTTGCTAAATGCAAATCGTTAAGAGTAATGTGTTTAATTACACAAAGCAATCCAAAGGACATTAGCGGTTTTGATGACAGTAGGCTATGGCTTAAGTTGAGCTTAAGCACAAGCCACAGAACAATGGCGCACGTTCAAGCATGTTCCAGTCCATAAAGGGAAAATCGCTTTTTCTACTCGCATGCTAAGCAGGCTGGAGAGATGGATTGGAGCATTTAGTCTAATGAATGGAGCTCAATGATGCACCTCAGGCTGTAGTCTACAACCACTGAACACACACACACGCATGTGCACCCACACAGGCACATACATGCATAAGCACACACACAGAAGCACATGGACAGGCAGGCTAATGGTCTGCGTAATGGAGATGTTGAAGCTGCTATTGAGATGTAAGTGCTTCAGACAGTACTGCTCTGTGATACACCTGGCCTTTAAGTGTACTCTTAGAGCTCATTAACGGAACAGGTTAGACTGGAGGCACTGGAGGTCATCCTATCTCTCTCTATCTCTCTCTTTATATCTGATCCAGCCATGTTTTTAGGTTAGCAGTGCTGCTCTGCAGAAAACAGGATGGTAAACTCAGTAACATTTTTGAGCAACAAGTTCTTCCTCAAGCAATAATGCAATGTTACTGGACAGATTAACTTGCATTTGAACATTTATTAACACCATAAACTGCAGTCTTCAGTTATCAGTTTATTAGTCTTATTGGGCCAATTTCCTAGATATAAATTAGGCATACTACATATAAATTAGGCTTGGACTACATTGCAGTGGCAATGCACGGTCTAGAAAATTGCTTCTGTACTAATAAACCCTAGAGAAAATAAGTAAGTAAGTACATTTTATTTAGATGGCACACTTAAATCAATGTATGTTGACCAAAGTGCTGTATAAAGTGCTATTTGCAACAAGCATTTCCACTCATTATTGTCTACTGCTCTAAACCACTGACATACAGAATTACACATCTACAGTTCTGTGCAGAATTTCAAGTCAAAATATTCATTAAGTATCGCGACAGTGGAGAGGCGCAGTTGCTGCCTATTCCTGAGCACATGACATGCTCTTCCTCTGATCAAGGACAGCTGTATGGAATCAGAGAAGCAAACACTCTTTAAAAACGGGCTCTCTGTGGTATGGAGGACAGAGGACACTCGTCTGCACGCCACAGAGAGAGAGAGAAAAAGGGACAGAATAGTGAACAATGAACTCTTTACAGAAAAGGCTAAGTAAGCTAATTTTATTTTTGTTGATTTCACTTAGAAATGTGTAAATAAAGTACTTTGGTTTACTCGCACTGGTGTTTGTGCCCTTGTTGGGTTTCCCAGTCAGTGTGCGTTGGCCCCTCCCCAGGCCAGCACCACAATTCGTCATTAATTTTTCAGGAAATATTTCTTACATCTGTTTCTTTGGATGTAAGAAAATCCACTTGGATAAAAAAGGACAACATCAAAGGAATGTAGTTAAAAAAACAGGAATTTCTAAAACTGGAATTCAAAAATGATTAAAAGATCTTGAGAAAATGGGACTTAAGCAGTACTTAAAGTACTTAAAGATTTTGTATTTGAGAAACAGAAGAACATCATGCTTCAAATCTGAAAATATCTAGAGGCACTTCTGTCCATCTCCACTGTGAGAATATATTGGTGTTCTCAGAACAATGTTGAGTTCTCAGAACAATAGACTGGCCATCCCTTGAATGTGTAGTGTATTTCATTGTATATCATTGTATGGGTTTGCGAGTACTTGCGAGAAGCCGAAGGCGCAACCAACTTCTAAGACTGAGCTTTGGAGGTATGAAAACATATCCCTGCAGATTTCTTCGAAAAATGGAAAGCAATTCTGACAAAAAGAATGGTAGCTATAATAAAAGCAAAGAATCAACATGCTGTATTATATTTAGTTGTGGAGGCTTCTGTGTAACTTTCTGTCAAATATATGTTTTCTACTTCTTTGTTGCTGCTGAAAAAATCTTGTACCTAAGGTTTGTTTTGACAGGAAATTAAATAAATCAAAATATGTCAAGACAAATGTTGTAAAACATAGATGTTAAATGTTAATGTTGGATTTGAAATCCACATATTTAACAAATATGCTAATTGTCTATGCCCCCTGTGATTATGTTTTCCTCTTTGCATAGAAGTGGGGTGGTTCAGTCCTCAGCAGCATCTGGCAGCAGGAAGGGCTGTTCAGTTGGCCACTCCACTATTGGGAAAATAGTATGTATCAGGATGCGCCACTTCATGAAAGTTGCCTGCCATCAGTACCAGTTAATAAGTGACACTCACCACTTACAACATTTGTTAGTGGTGCTTAACAGTGGCTCCTGACATTCAGAAAAGCACTACAGAAATAATGAACCCATCTGTATTATACATACTTATTACCTGTAAGTATGTATTTGTAAAAATAATTCTGTATGATGCATTTAAAGGGGAATTCAGCTGAATCTTTTCTTTTTTTACTGCATAACTGAATGGTTGAGATGTAAACAAAGTCATTTAGAGTGGTCCATTCTAGAGAAACTTGCTGAGTCAGAATTGTTCACAGTGGTGGTGAAGGAATATGCTGCCTGCTGTGTGAGACATTGTTTTATGATAGTTTTGAGATAAAGTTCTGGCCTAAAACATATTTTGTAAACATTAAAGCAGAATACTAAAACTTATTTTTTCAGGTTTTCCACTATTTTTCCATCATTAGTATTAAATATAAACTTTCAGAGGACAGTGTGTAGGTGTGTAGGTTCACTGGTGGTTTCGGATAGTAAATAAAATGGTTATACTTGTGTTGCATACATTGTGACCCCTGGTTTCTATCACAGTCAGTAAGTCAGTAAGCTTCTCTACAATGAACCATTTCACGTCAAACCACTCTGAATGAGTGTTTACAGCTCAAACACTAAATTATGTAGAACTTTGAAGTTCCTCCTTTAATTAAACTGAGATTATTTTACTTGGAAAGCTAGCATTGTCAGCCTATTTGTTAAACGTAAAAAAATCAAATCCAACATTTAGTTTAACAATTAACATTTACATTTGGCATTAACATATACACTGAACATTTATATTTACATTTAACCTGTACATTTACAATTAACATTGAAGTAGACATTTAACACTTCTGTTTAACTTTCACATTTGTCAGTTTGAAAAGAGTAATAAGTAGGGATGCACCAATAACATTTTTGAGTACATGTTTTGTAGAACTCGTCAATACAGATTATGATGCCATACTGAGTAAACTACTTAGAATTAAGTAGTTGTTCATGTAAATGAGTGTAATGTACCTTGAAATTAAATCATTAAAGTATGATGTGCATTAGCTAGCTATGCTACATTAGTTACCTTGGGTCGAGTAGCATTGCGGGGGAGAAGAGCCAGTTTTGTTCCATGTCAGAATAGCACTTTTGTGCAACTGTAAGTAAAGTAGTTTTGATCCTCATCTGTTTCTTTGAACAACAGTCTTAAGAGAGCAGGAATCACAACCGAGGCTAATCCGAGGAGCTCACATTTAGCGTTTAAGTCTTGTTTTGTTTGGCTGGTTGAGCTGTAGTTGAATGTCCTTTAAAGCCAGACACTCAGTGTGCCATTATAGAAATCTTGTTCTTTGGTGACTCACACTATTTGTTTGAATAGTCCATCCTGTACGGACAAAGCTAACAATTTATATATTCACGGTGTACGAAAACGCCCAGCAAATGCTACGTGAAATGCATCCCCTACAGACAGCTCTGCCTATGAACAATTTCAAAATAAAGCTGTTTCTTTCAAAAAAACACGATGTATCCGTGAGTACTGAGCCAACACGTTGAGAAACTGTGGTACAGAAGTTTAGCTAAATTGTACCACACTATGCACTGAAACTAAAAAAATGTGATGTACACGGTATGAGAATATGGTCTTTCAGCAACCTACTTTACAAAGACAGTTAAAAAATTACTATTTTAATGTTTTTATCTTGCTATTCTATTCAGTCAGACATATCAACTTTTTTTTTCGCCTCTGTTTTACTAGCCTATGTGTCTCCACCTGTACTGGGGAAACTGATTGTGCTTATGTGTTTAAAAATGGCCTAAAATCATACAGTACATGCCTGGCACTTTGCTGTATGAGCAAATCTTTTCTCACCGCCAGCTTGAATTGTTTGTTCATTAGTGCAGCAGTGTATGCTAGGCTTATGTCACATGCTATCAGGTGATATTGGATCTTGGTATCAGTGCATTTTTATGAGCACACGTATGAGTAAATGAGCATGGTATCCATGCATCCCTAGTTCACAAACGTAAAACAAATGAAAATATAAAAAAATGCCAAAATTGTATCTAAAAATGTTGCTAAACAATGTTTCAGAAATCTGGCAGCAATGTAATAACTTTCCATGATTCGAAGTTTAGAGGCAATTAAACTCTATGTTCCGATCACCACCATTGTGACTAATTCTAAAACTTGAGTTTCTATAGAATTAGTCACATCAAACCAGTCTGAATGACAATGTTTAGTTGTAAATAGTAAAAAAAGTAATAAAATAGATGGAATTCCTCTTTTATTTTGAGTTCACTGAACAACAAATAGTAAGTTAACAGAACAATAACAACAAAATGTTAAAGCAATGAAGGAATCCATTGATGTGTGTCGTGTTTAGTGCTGTGTTATACATTATTATATGCAGTATCATGTGTGCATGTGCTGTGGTTGTATTTGGAACATTCTGTTTTGCCTATTTTTTGTTTATCCCTACATGGTCACGTCTGTCACACCTGCCACTTGTTATGTATAGGCTGGGCCTAATCTTGGCATCAGACAACTATTAAACTGTGTCAGTCCATTGTTTTACGGGCTGGCTAGGTGTCTGGTACCTGCGCGCAAGAAAAAAACTCTCCAGACATACGGCTAGCACTTCCTTTTTTGAGTTACAACACCAAATCATTTTTACATTGTAAGAGTAGTACGTGCACGCCTGTTTGCATTAACGCTGCCCTCCAGCTGTTTTTTACTTCGCCTTAGCTAAGCTATTTCAGCACTGCTACAGCCTTGGTTCAATACTGCCTCAGTTGGATGTGCACGAGGTGACTCACAGAGCTGAAATTCCCCAGTGTGCTCCTGACTTCTGCCCAGCCTCTCTGAACAGTGCCAACCCGATCAGGTTGATGGTGGGTGCGATGGCCAGTGGCCCGATGAACTTCAGCACCAGCCCCACCAGACCAGACAGCCCAAGCACAACCTGCAGCACCGATGCCACCAGAATGGCCCCCTGGATCTGAGAGAAAAGTGCACATCAAAGACAAGCTAATCTGAGGCAGTGCAAGGCCTGCAAACCAAGTGCAATGGACATCATGATGATCACTGACAAGCAATTTATTTTAAAATTTTATCTTAGGTTCTCAAAATTTGCATGAGAATAATTTGTGAAACACAATATTCATGAATCACACACTCTAATGCCTGTAGCACACAGGCACAACCAGTCTGAGATATCTGTACATCAGGTTAGAAACTTGGGTTCGTCTATGTATAGTTTCACATATATTTCATGGTTTATACATCAGTACTTCAATGTGAATTTATGCGTAAAATGTATATGGTTTATGCACCAAAACAGTTGTAATTCTTTTTTATATTGTTATTTTTCCATCTCTCTTTACCCCTAAATTTAACAGGCTGTTTTTTTTACTGTGCCTTAATGTTCTGATTGGCTGCCCTGTACTGTGCCTCACTCAGTAAGCAGTGCAGGCTGAAATATCCTTATATCTTTAGTGTGAGTAGGCGGAGCTAAACTGCTATAGGCTAAATATGTAAGATATGTAAATATGTAAAAATGTAAGTGTGCTGGTTTTTGTGATAATACAAAAGCTTAGCTTTCTATATGTGGACTGTATGTACTTGGGAGTGAATGACACATTTGAAAACAATGTTTACACACTGCATCAAATCTGTTTATTTTAAAAAGTCAAGAAAAATTCACTTTTCCATAATATGGGCTCTTTTAGACTGAATGCTTTAAAAATTAGGCCCCTGGTTCTCAAACCATACCAGAAAAAATGCTTTTGATGAATAAACAAATGACAACACATTCTATTCCTGCTTCGAACACACCTGAACTAGGTTATAAGGAATATTCATGTTTGCTGGGAGGTGGACCATCTAGACCAGTAGTTCCCAATCCTGGTCCTGGAGAACCCCTCTCCAGTATACTGTGGTGTGTTCCCTACTTTAGCAAATCTGATCGAACTAGTAAGCTAATGAACAAAGCCTTTCCAGAATTTAAATAAGTGTTAGAACACTAAAATAAGCAGGACAGTGGTACTTAAGAACCAGGGGTGGGAACCCCAAAAATAAAGCAGAGGTTCTCAACCCATTCTGGTACATCTTCAGTTCTAGTTCACCTCCCCACAAACTCGTGTTTTATCTTTTATTTATGATGATCCTCTTAGTTCTCAAGGTTTTTTTTCCTGAGTCAAAACAAGCTTGTCCTTAGGATCAGGATTACTTTCTACAAGTGATCTGACTTTCAAATTACATTTTTGAGAAATCAAAATCATTTGAGAAAGTACGATTAGAATTCATAAACGCCAATATAACTGAATGCCAAGAGTGTATAAAGCTGCATTAAAGCAAATGAGGGCTAATTTTTAAAATAACCTAAAATAGAAGATAGTTTGATTTGTTTAAAGGATCCATATCCTACATTTTTCCTATATTCTGTTTTTCCCTTTGAGGTCAAGTTATTATGTTTGTGTGGTTTTAGACTATAGAAACGGTTGTATTTCATATCTACATAATTTCTTAAAGCCTTTTGTGTTTTTGTTACCGTGCTTTTCAGACTGATAGATGCAAATGAGCACTGTTCTGATTAGCGGCCCTGTATTGTGCCTCATTCAAAAAGCAGTCTGGGCTGAAACACTCCTTACCACTTCAGTGTAAATAGGCGGGGCTAAATTGCTAAATTGGTGGATATATGTAAAAACACTGGACTTTCCGAAAGCAATGAATTCAAAACAGGCTGTTTTGGCAACTTTTTTTCAATATATGGGATGCGTGGACTTTGGAGAGAACAGTTGTTTTGCATTTTTTTACATACTGAAAATATTTACATGTTTGCATTAATTCTTTAATTTCAAAAAAGTGAAGAAAATTGGTTTTACTGTGATATAGGCCCTTTAACAGTTGTTCGCTCACTGCATAAAAGCATGTGTTATTTCATAATTTTGATGTCTTTACTATTGTTCTTATTTGTGGAAAATAACAAAAGTAAGGAAAACTCTTCTATGAGTAGGTGTGTCCAAACCTTTGACTAGTAGTGTACATGTGTGTGCTGTGGAACTTTTATGGTTGTAAGATAGGGTTCTTAGTCTAAAGTGTTATAGGCCCGGGGTGGTCTAGTGGAATATCTGAAGAATTCGGTTTGGTTTTTACATTTTAAAATTCTGGTGAAAGTGAAATGTTTACAGAAATGTTAAGATTGTAGGCAAAGGTGTGGGTAACTGACTGTGTGCAAACAGATGAAAGTTCAAGAGCCAGATTTTCACGCAGTTTTAGTCAATGAGTGACTGATAATGAGGTAGTCTGAACACAGTCTGACAAATGATTGACATCTAATAAAACCTTTGCTGATTCTGACATGATAATAACTAAAGCCAGACAGTGTGTGTCTCATTACACAGTCGGTGAATTTTTATTTTTGTCTTACTGCTGATAAACCACAAAGTAATTATGAAGTAATAAAGTGTTGGGCAGTAGCTCGTACAATAAGAGCACAACACTTTTGGGATAATGTCAGTACTTTTTATTCTAATAAATTATTTTATGTCAATTCACTGTAATAGGACTGGACGCTACTGGCCATCACATTTTTTGATGTGGCTCTATTTAGTAATTTTCTGAAACAACTGGTCTCTTAGGGGTCTTCGATGACGGTTTAGAGGGTTAAAAACGGGTCTGTTTTCAAACTCCCACAGTGTCAGTTGTGCACAAATGTTTCTGAAATGTTTTTATGACCTGACAGCTGACAATAAATGAACTATGTATTATCAGGAAAGTGCTATATTTTTCCAGCTCACAAAGACATGTGAGACAGGTCTAGTTTTTAGTGTAACTGGAGTCTCACAGTTGGGGTATATTACAAAAAACAAACAAATAAAGAATAACATGGATGACATCCTATTATGACTCAGTTAACTGGAAGCCTTTGTTGCTTTGAAAAACACAAACTTATACTTCTCTATTTCACTCTCTGTTCTTCTAAACAGAATGGATCTTTTGGAAAAATTCTGAATGCGATACAAATTACTGAAATAAGTGTCAAGGGTGACCGACAGCACGCCAATACTGTGAATAATAAGCTTGTGGTGAAAACATTCTGGTATTTTCCTTAAAGGAAAAAATGTTGATGTTGGAATTGGATGTATACCTCTTAGCTGTATTTCTTTTTAGAGGCATTTTAGGCATGCTTAAGCAGCCAAACCTGACCAGAAATCATTTTGATCTGATGCGAGGTGTATGAAATGCAGGTGTGATGCACTTCCAAGTGGTGAGTCGAAGCTGACGAGGACATGCTAAAATAGTATTGAAGCAATATTGAGTCTCCCTGCTCTGCACATTTAAGTGTTTTCCTGCTCTATGACACCCACTTCAACCCAGAAAAGCCTTGTTGTAGCAAATCAGTTATGGTAGGAAGCAGGGAAAAACATCAAAGGGCCTATATCATGGAAAACTTTGCCTTTTTGTAAACAGGAGACTTTGATGTAATATGTAAACAATGTGATGTCAAGAAAATCCTTCTATTTAACCAACAGCAGTTCACACTGAAGTTATAAGTAGTGTTTCAACTCTGAGTGCTTTTTAAATAAGGCATGACACAGGGCAGCCAATCAGAACAGAGATCATTTACATATTACATTTGAGTTATAGAGAGGTTGGAAACCAGTCATGTTAACAAACTATTTATGGCTGCTTTTAACACAACCGCACAAATGACATAAGCTGACCTCAATAACATACAAGAAGAATGAAGGATATGGGCCCTTTAAATGTGCAAGCGGGGGCCTTCCATGACCAGGGCTGGGAAACACTTTTGTGAAGTACTCAGCTTGTGAATGCAGTGCACTGGCTGTACCTCACGCATGCGCACTTTCCAAACCTCCTCAGGGTCTGTGAGTGAGACGGACTCTGCCGTGGCATTGAGGTCAGCGTTTGCGGCAACTTCTGGGCACTTCCACTTGGGCAGAGCCAGGACGGCCAGTGTTGGCGTGATGAAGGTGAACGTTCCACCTTGCAGGATTGGCAACCTAGGCAGACAGTAGAGGACACTGTTTAGAAACGTTTGGTTATTATTAGTGATAAATGTTTTATTTCAGGCTTAACACTGAAACAACACAATCTTCACCTGATTGGTCTAAATGTGTTACAGTGAATAAAGTATTTGGGTTACCTGGTCCCAATAGTCGTCTGCAGCACAGTGCAAATGCCTGACACGAAGAAGATGGTGGAGATGAGCTGGCTCTTGGCTCCATTGTTGTCCTTAATGCACAGTGGCTCAGCGAGAATGAGAGGGATAGCCAAGATGCCACCAAATGCCAGTATGTAATGCTTCAGAAGGAGACAGAGAGGGAGAGTGAACAGGAAAGGGAAATGTGGATGGAACTAAGCAGACGTTTGTCGAAAAACAAACTGCGACTAAGCCAAGCCAGCAGACGGATGATCACAAAAAGATGTAGCTAAGACTTAAGTGCTACTCGACTCAGCCAGAAAAACGTGATGAAAGACAGATGTTGAGTTATCTGTTGTGAATTGATAGTCCTTTTTCTCTCGACAACAAGCTTCATAAATTTGTTGAGCTGAAGGGAAAAAAATAGAAACCTTTGGCTAAGGCCTCAACTTGGATACTCCAATAATACAGCAAAGAAAGTTTACATACCAAGCAAGGGAGGAATGCAATTACACCCTTTGGCTAGCACTGACCACCGTAGCCCTGTTTTCAGTATTAATACTGTACTCTGGGAGCTCTGCTCCCTCTGGACCACTACATCATGCATGTTTTTCGAACAGCGAAGCAACTTGGCTTCGGCCTATTTTTCATTGCTGGTGGGACATGGTGTAGAATCAACACATTACTGCTAAAAGCAAAAGAGAAGCAGCTAGCATTATTCTCTTTGGGAATTCTCAATAACATGAAATACCTACTCTCTTTCTGCCTTATCCTACCCTCTGTGTTGCTGTAGAGATAAAAGTGAGGGGGTCTTGAGGAGTAAGGCCCCCCTTGTCGTGCTCCTCTATACACCCTGCACATCTCCTTGTCTCACACGTCGGCGCAGGTATCCCATGTACTCCTCTCTCCTCTTGCTCCTCCTCAAGTTCCCTTTGATCTTGCTGTCTTCGCAGCCCGAGTGAGTGAGAAGCTCTGGCTCATGTTCTATTCCCCTCAGACTGGAGAAATAATGGGGAATAACACGCTCTGTAGTGGACCGAAAGGATTTGCTTTCATCTTTCCATTCTGAGAGTTAAGAAAGCAGATACCCTAAAAACCCTGACACCGTACGACAAGTTATGACACAGTAATAAAAGTCTTGTTAAGGTACAGCTGAGTGGTGAATTCTGCTTTTTTTTGCCCCCCAATCATTTTCGCCTGCAATATTTTTGTTTATTTATTTCATTTTGTTCCCGTCTGAACTCGAGCCAGTTCCCAGGGCGTTTCTCCCAAAGTACGCCGCTCCTCAAATGTTTGGGGACAGCTGACTTTTAAGAATGTCTTTAAAAACAAACAAGCATTTTTTCTTTGTTAGTTTGCAATAACTTAACAAATTAAAAGTTTACTTTGTTGAAGACAATATCAAACGTGTAAGTATAAGTGACAGCATTTGTGACAAAGCTACTTTAGGAGTAATGCCGAAGGCCACACATTGTATCCCCTTGTTGTGATGTCAGCACTCATCACAACTCATGCTGGTCTTTAAGCTAGGAGAGGGTGATATGGCAAAAATATCATATCACAAATCATTTTCATGATGCAAAGTATTGCAATATTTTCACACACAGATACATTGTATTAGCAGAGCTACATTTAAGAACTGCCATCAAAAACAACTGTACAGCACTAAATCGAATTACACAAGAAATTATGCTCTCTTTTTTTAGAAACATGTAGCTGGTCATTGTTCTGTAAGTATTGACATTTTCCATTATATGCTCAAAAACATATTCTGTTTATCACAAAAACAAATATTTTCATGATGAAATATGACCCCACCTCTAGTTTAAACAACGTTTGGGCAAAAATGCACCGTGAAATATTACCGCAATTTCTCCAGTAATTCAGTTTTTTTCAGAAGAGTATTCATATAACATACTCATAATATTAATGCACCTGTATTATAAAATGACAGCGCTCTATTCTCTATTCTATTTCTGTGCTATTTCTATTATAGAGCTCATAGGAGCTCTAATGTGTGCTAACAGCTGTATGTTCACCAGTTTTGCTATGGTATGTAAACATGTAAATGTTTAATGTTTAAATAACGCAACATGTATAATATTGTGGAGTCAGCATAGAAGAAGCAAAAAAAGCTGCTGAATGACAGTGAGAATAGTGGAAAAGGTCATCAATAGCCACACGACTCACTTTGAGGTAGACAATAAATCCACACTAACTAACCTGCAGCCCTACACAAAGAAACAATTAAACTGCGCCCCTAAAACCCCTTCTGAAACGTGAAGTGTGTGGCGGATGCCACATAGCCCCCACACCCTGAGGGGCAGCTGTCCCAGGTGGCCCACACAGTCCAAAGACAGTCTCTGAGGTGTGTGGGGTATGTCTCCTCTGGCACAGAATTTCGGGATGTCCATTGTCCTGTATAGGTGCAAGCCAGAACTTGTGCGCTTGGCTTAGGCCCCCACCACGACCAGGAACCGCCTCCACCTTCTCACATCAGCTTGTCCACTGGTGACGGACTTGGGTTCGATGGCCGTCGCTTCCCAGTTCACAGGTGTGCTGCTCTCAGTGTGAGGGAGCGCGCCTGGATGTAGCGGCGACACTGATGAGCCAGTAAAGTCTGTGGTGACAGCTGATCTTCCTGGCTGCTTTTCGTGTACCTGCCAGCTCAGGTATGTCTGGTGCAGTCTCTTATTCCTGCATCTCCAGCACACTATTTGTTTCTCAGCCGCTCGCTCGGATGCCTTCCGACACACCGTCTCCTCCTCGAGCTCCTCCACCGCGTAATACTGCGTTGCGCTAACTCCTCCTGCACAGCCTTCTCAAATGGCGGATATGCCTGCTGAGCCATTGTGCTCAGCTCTGCTGCCAGCACACTCTTCAGCCTCCACTGCTCCAGGAGCAGCTGTCTGGCCACCTACGCAGCTGATGCCTGCCCGAAGCATTTGCTTGAGGGCCATGGTCAATGCCGCTAGGTCATTTTGTTGTTCTGGCATCAGATTCATTAGCACCCATAGTGCTTTCAAGCACAGTTGCATTGCAGTGATGGCCGCTGTCCAGCAATGATGCCAGGTAACCACTTGCAGATGTGCAGAGTACGGCTTCAAGGTGTCCTTGCTCTTGAAGTGTGCACCGTCTCCTTTTCACTAGCCTCCACCTAGGCTCCACGGCTTGGCTTTTTTTCTTTTTCTTTACCATCTTCCTCACCCAACCCATCTTGCTCTCGGCTAGCTGGACCCATCCGGGAGAGGGTAGACGTAGTGCTCAGTACCCCCTTTTGCCAGGCTGTCTTTCTTCGCTGTCCACCTTTGAGTTCATTGAAGTGGTGCCTGACTTCTCACTGCTTAGTGTCGCTATCCCACTTCTGATACCACTGTGGTGGCGTAGAAAAAGATGCGTAAAACACTGCGCATATGGGCAAATGTTCTTTTATTGAACAGGCACTTCAACAGGCAGCAAGAAATGCTCAGTCCAGCACTACTGGATAACAGCGAGAATAGCGGGGAAGGTCACCAACAGCCATACAATTTCATTTCATGGTAGACACTAACCCCACAGTCCAACACAATGAAACAGTCAACAAATGTCAACACATAAATAAAAAATGTCCTATTAACGTAGGAGGGGAGGCACAGGTGGCGCAGCTTTGCATGCCACATCCTTAAATTCCCTCCTGAAATGTGGAATTTGTGGTGGACGCCACAGTATACAACAGAGCTTGATATTAAGCTTTTTCAATTACTTGCCCTATGGACAAGTTAATCCACATTTTACTTGTCCTAAGGCCAAAATAGCTGGACCACAGAAGAAGTCAATAATAACATTTGCTAATGACTGCTGCATTACATAGTTTAACTTACCAATTAGCACTGAACAATTTATAACATGAGTGTGAGAAAGAGAGGAAAATTATTATTTTAGCCTACTCAATTTAAATGGTGTGACTTTCTCAGTGTTTACTTCTTTTCATTAGCCTCAGTCTGTTGTTACTCTTACCTCTCTCGCTCACAAGTTCAGGCTAGTGATGGGAATAACGGCTCTTTAATCCCTAAGATAATGAAAGGGTACGATTTGGATCAGATTTAAACTTAGACATCTCACCAATAATTTTATTTCACAGGTGTGGAATAGGTTTAGCAGAACTAAATTACTCATATCACCAGACCTAATGTCAATGATCTGCATCGTAAATATTACACAAGGTGACGCCACATCCCTCTGCTGCATAAGTTTACACCTGAATTTACCCTCTGTGTGAAATGTGGTTCTCACTGTTCGCATAGGGAGTGGTACGGAATTAGGACAGGCAGTGAAATGTGGTCAAAACGATACAAAGAACGGCTCTCATGTACGACTCGGATCCCTTCGTTCTTACCAGAACCGTTAAAAAGAACCAGATAGTTAGCTAACCTAGGTTAGCTAGCTAGAGCTTAGTTAGCATTCTAAGTGGAATGCTAACTAGCTAACTTAACGTTTAGTTTAAACACACCAATTAGCCACTGAGTCGTGCTTCTTATCTCTATATAAAATTAATCCCATCAACAAGCCACACATATCGAGTGAGCAAGCTGTGTATTTTGACAGTTAATTTGAAAGTTAGCTAACATAGCCTTCTGGCTAACGTTACTTAACGCTAACTTACTTCTCAGCCAAAGAGGGCTGTAAAGGGCTTCTTTGTCGTAGTTCGCTCTGTCTGTTTATCCTTCTAAGTCGGTATAAATCCTCATTTCCTCTTAGACTCGGTCATGTCAGCGTTAGCCCTTTAGCTGAGTCGTTTCTGAGCTTGTTCTGACCCCTCGTCAGGTTGTGAATGTCTGAAATTCATGGGGACTGATTAGCTAGCTAGCTTGACGTTAGCGGCTGCCGCTGAAGTGAAGCCCTCATCTCTGATAAAGATAGAAACCTATTCGCTGTTTTCGCGCCTCGGTGGGAAACTGTACTGAAAAACCTGCACGCTGAAGGTTTATGATTAAGTTATTGTTCTCAAAGAAAAATGATCATTTTGCGAATAATTTGCTGGTCCGTTTGTTATTTTTACCTTCCATTCCCCTACATAAACCTGCAACTAGGATATTTTTAATAGCGTAAATGACTTAATTTACTCAGTAAAGAATTATACCAGCATTAAAACTGTTGGTGGGTAGGTTATTAGGTAGGTTGT